ATTAAAAAAAAAACAACCCACATCAAATCTCTTAAGTTTCAGAGCCTTCTGAACCTTCAGTCCTGTCTGGGAACAGTCGCTGTTGCAGTCAGGTGACCAGTTCTTGAGTCCTAAAGGTCTTTCCAGATCCTTGACTGTTGCTTTTGTGGAGATTTGGATCATCCATTTGATGAGATTGCAATTTCAACCACCCACCCTCCTGGCCCTGCATTCATAAATCTGAATTTGACCCATTGTCCTCAGGAGATTCTATCCCAGTAAAATGAGGTCTTCACCTTCGGGAGCGACCTCTCATTTCCCCAGCTTGCCAGCAGCATTTATTTATGAGCATTGAAGAGGTTTAAAATTCTTTACGCCTTGATGTTACACCCACCCCCCTTCTGTGTGTGTGTGTGTGTGTGTGTGTGTCTTAAGAAAGAAGTAATAAAAAACAAAACATAGGTTTTAAAAAATTAAAAACACACATCTGTTTCAGAAACTCAAATGTACCATATTTGTATTAAGAGATGTTGGGGATTTTTGTACAATGAATTTACATTTATTTATGGTGACTTCTATCTGCCCTTGTGATCCAATAATAATGTTAAATTCTTAAATCATATTTGCTATGCAGCTGAAGATGGTATTTTGCTTTGTATCTTGGAGTACCTGTGTTGAGTGGATAAACATTTCCATCTTCATTAAACTTGCTTCCAAACTGGTGAAACCAGCGTCTTGGTCATGATTCCGGGTCATTTTCCAGTCCTTGTCGCCTTTGGAAGGCCACATTAAAACTGATGACTAAGAAAATAACCAACCTGGCTGGTGTGGCTCAGTGGTTGAGCATCAACCTGAAGTCACGGTTGATATGAACCAGGAAGTCACGGTTGATTCCCAGTCAGGGCACATGCCCGGGTTACAGCCTGGATCCCGGTAGGGGGCATGCAGGAGGCATCCAACTGATGATTCTCTCTCCTCATTGATGTTTCTTATCTCTCCCTCTCCCTTCCTCTCTGAAATCAATAAAAATATATTTTTTTAAAAAACCTGAATGGAGTGGGAGAAGATAGAGCCAGCAGGTCAGCATGCCCTAAACTAATGGCTTGCCTTGCTTTTTCACTGAGGGAATTACCTCTTTACAAGTTGACTTGTACAGGACAAGATATAGGAGATATGTCCTGCCCTTAGGGAACGCATAGTCTCACTGAGTGTAGCTGGCACCCTAGACCCCTAGTTTTAAGAGGAAGAATGGGAATTAATATGAATGAGGCCCGATAAGTGTGGGCACTGTGCTAAGTCCCATTCATCATTCCTGTGACCCCAGCACAGTCACTTTCTGTGTCATAGCCCACTTAGACAGGCTGCACTGTGTTCATTTCCACACAGTTACTAGGTGAAGACAGAGGGAGAAGACGGACACCTGTAAGCCAGGAGATTTTTTTAAAAATTCTTTATTGTTGAAGTATTACATATGTCTCATTTTCCCCCCATTAACCTCTCCCCTGCTGCTCCCACCCCCAGCACCTGCCCTCACCCCCCCCTACTGTGTCCATTGGTTATGCTTATATGCATGCATACAAGTCCTTTGGCTGCTCTCTTACCCAATCCCCACCCCAACCCCTCCACCAAGGAGATCGTAAGTGTTCTCCTACACCAAAAAAAGAAAAAAGGTAAATGTGGGGTGATGGATGAGTTAATTAACTTGGTGGTAGTGATCATTTCAAAATGTGCTAGTATATCAAAACATTACATAGAACACCTTAAATACATACAATTTTTATTTTCCAATTATATCTCAATAAAACTGGGGTAAAGGAAATCTTGACTATAAGAACAGAATAATGTTGCTAAACCAAAAGCAGAAAAATTAAATTTATAGAATAAATACATACTAATTTATGAATTACAGATGTCTTTATTTTATCCATTCAAACGTGGCTGGCTCAGCAACAGAACACCCAGAAATATGCAGTGATAATTAAATGCAGTCATCTTTGGTATTTTGGCCAACTTGCAGTCATACAAAGCCCTTGACATCACATAGACTTTATTTTGTGTTATAAATGTATATTTTGTCATCAGGAAGACAGCGCGTATTTTACAACAGTGATTTAGAACTTTTGATTATTTAGAGACATGTGGTGTGTGGTACTTTTGCCCCAGACCCTGCAGACGGTGGGAGGGGGCTGGCTGTGATCCTGCTGTCAGTTCCCCTAAAGAGAGTAAAGCCTGAGGTGGGGAAGAAACAAAGACGCATTTGGGTGAGGAGGAGATTAACCCGCCCCCAAAACCAGTCTCCCCTTCCCCATCTGGTTTGATTTACTCTGATTTCCTCCGTCTGCGCCCCCTTCTCAGCCTGTTCCCAGCCATCCCCAGATGCTGCACCGTCTGGCTGGCCCAGAGCTTCCGGCAGAATGGGGAAGGCGCAGGGTTTCCCTGGGAAAATATGCCGTGAGATGCTATCGGAGCTAAAAATATGTGGCCCCTAAGCTCCACCCTCATTAGTCAGAATAAAACCCAGGGATTTCTGCCTTCTGGCGTTTCAGACCAACAGGAAAAGGGGAAATCAGCGAACCCCTGGTTGGGGCTAAATACTTTCTGGCAAGGAGCCCAGCCCTGAGCTGGAGAAAACTCCCTGGACTCTGGTGGTTACAGTGGGGCAAGGGGCCGACTCTTGCCGGAAAGCCTGGGGACAGTCTGGGGTCAGCCCATCCACGGCTACCACATATTCTCATCTAATCCACTTCTCCCATCGTCAGTATACCCATTTTACACTTGAGGACCCAAGCATACAGTGCAATATACAGATCTTGTATCATAGAAATCTATACCTGAAACCTATCTGATCCTATTAGCCAATGCCACCACAATAAATTTAATTTAAAAGAAAAACAATACAGATTGAACAACCACACCACTTACCTTTTTCAGTTCATCCTGAGGTCCCAGGGTCCCCATTGCTCACACAGACACTCACCCTTACCCCTGCCTTCAGGGAATGCTCCCCCATCTCACATCCCCTCCCCATCTTCACAGAATGAGCCTTCCATCGCCCTTCAGGTCTCACTAAAACACCCCTCCTCCTGAAGCCTAGGTCGCAGTTGCTCCATTAAATACTCTCCACTCATTCTGCACTTGACCTTCTTGCTGCTGTTTATCAAAATTATAATTCAAGGTTGTGTGGCCAGTTACTGGACACAGGCCGTGGATATAGGGATTGCATCTGTCTTGTTCGCCATCATAGCGCCTGTGACTGTCACAGGGTATGACATGTCAGAAGTGCTCCAACTCTGTCTGCTGAATGAACCCATCGCCCTGCCCCCTCCAAAAAGCTTGTAATGGTGTTAACAGGTTAGCCTGCCTTAAATCAGCAGCCATCATAAGAGAGAGGAGAACAAAGGCCTACCTGTCTGGTGTCGACTATAAGCGCGATGGTTGTACTATACTGGGTGGTAGGGAGGACTGGAGCTGGGATTGTGCAGAAGGGACAGGGACAAATACAAGAAAGAAAGAGGAAGGGATGGGCATGAGGTTTAGGGAACAGCGTGGAGGCAGAGTCTTCTGGACCACCTGGTGTTGGTCATTTTCTCTCTCTCGGGACCTTCCTCAGCCAAGAATAGGGGCAAAAGCTAGTAACTGGGTAAAAACTGGTTGTTGAAAACCCAGCTCTGCCAGGAACTAGCAAGTTCTCAATCTCTCTGAACATCAGGATCCGTATTGATAAGAAGAGTTAACAGTGGTTTCACCTATTTCTCGGGTTTCTGCAAGGATCTAAGGATAGCATGCACGGACCACCTTAGCACGGCACCTGGCACACTGTTGGTGCTCAACAGCCAGGACTGGGTCAGGAAAGAGGGCTCCGCCAGCCACAGCCACTCAGGTTTTCCTCTGCAGCCACGTGCCCCTTCCTTCTCTCCAACCTGGGGTTCCACTCAGGGCTCCCCATGGAGATCTCACTCACCCCCACTCCCCATTCAGTCCACAGCTATTTTCCAACAGATTCAAGAACCGAAAAAGCCTGAAGAAGAAGGAACCAGTGGAAGGGACTGTCAAGAACCCAGGCAGCCAGGAGGTCAGAGGGGAGAGGGCAGGGCCTGGGGAAGGCCAATGGTTGGTTAAGAAAACTGGCCAGGCCAGGAATGCTTCCCCAGCCCTCCTCCTCCCTGTGGACAGAGAACCTATAGACAAAGAGCAAGCCTGCCTAGTGAGTGTGGTACCCAGATGACCTCCAAGGACACTTCCTGCCCCGACAGTCTGAGATTTTCACACTGAGACCACGGCTGTGAATCTCGGCCAGCCTCGGGGCACCTGGGAAGAGAAGGGAAACTGAAGTCTTAAAAGGCTCAAGACCTCACAAGGTCCAGGGACAAGCTCCAGGGTCTGCGGTCTCTCTGAAATAGTAGGTGTGCATATAGATGTGCATTTTTTCTTCTTCTTTAGAGAGAGTGGCTCATAGATAACCTCAGGTTCTCAAAGAAATCCAAGCAGATTCACAACTTCTACCCTGACCTGGTGAACTTTAGACTATATTTCCACTGTTTGGAATGACTTGGGGGATCAAGCACCCTCTCACTCTGGGTACAAATGAGAGCATCTTTGTCTCCTACAGCTGCTCGTACAAATTACCACCAATTGAGTGGCTTAAAGCAAAACACGTTTATTATCTTACAGTCATGGGCACAAGAAGACCAAATGCAGCCCTGCTTCCTTCTGGAGGCTCCAGGGGACACTCTGCCCCGCCTCTTGCAGCCTAGGCTGCCACTCAGGGCCACAGGACCTCCGTCTCTGCTTCCCTCCTCACGGGGCCTCCTCTGACTCTGACCCTTCTGCACCCTCTTGTAAGGACCCTTGCAGGCCCACCCAGATATCCCAGGATAATCCCCCATCACAAATTCTTAATTTAATCACATCTACC